TTATTTTGATATATCACAGTGAAAGATTTATCGTCCTCTTTTTTTTTTTTTTTTTTTTTTTTTTAAAAAAAAAAAAAAAAAAAAAAAAAAAAGAAAAAGAAAAAGTTAAGGACATATATTAAAATATACCAAATAATGCTGAATACAAAGCAAATCAAAAGTACACCAATAGTATTTAGAAGACCTGGATTATTCTTTTTTTTCAAGAATTTCGTACATGTAGAGAATGAAATGTGATTATATACATCATATATACCCACCCTCCAGTTTCCTTCATATCCTTCCAACACCTCCTCCTCCCAACTTCGTGTTTTCTGTTTTTGATAACTCACTAAATCCATGTGTGCGTTGAGTGGGTTCATCCATGGAAGCATGGGACACCTGCTAGTGGCCACACCCTCAAAGAAGAGCCATTTCGTCTAGCAACTATCAAATGGTATAGCTCCTCAGTAAGGGATTTAGTACTCCTGAAGGACCCATTAATATTGCGAAGAACAAGCATCATGGGCTCTCTCTTTTTTCTGAAATCCAGGCATTTGATAAATTTATCACTCCTTTCTTGTTACAACTTATAATGGTAAAAATTTAAGATACTATTTTCACCAATATTTGGAGGCATTTTGAAAATATAAAACTAGAAGCTTAGAATGTAGCTTAATTATTGTCTAGGATATTCAAGGCCTTGTTTTCCATCTCTGGCATTAATGAAAGAAAAAAATCTAACTGTAAGGTTTATTTCAAGGTAGCAGGATGATTGTAGCTCTTGCCACTGTCTCAGCAAAAGTCCTAGCCATCCAGCAGTCTGGATCATGTCCAGCTTTATTTCTAAGGTGAAAGACTAGAGCACAATGTCTCGTGGGCTTCTTTAGATGTTGGAGGCAATACATACCTCCTTTAGTTGTGCAATTCTGACCCACTTACTCCATACCTAAAAGAGTTTCAGTTCTGTTTGGGTCCCAGAAGGATGGAAGGCTCTGCAACATGCCCAGATGCCAAACCTGTTGTGCTACTTTTTGACCCAACTCAGCATGTCCATTCTGCTTAAAATGCTGCAGCAGACAAGGGATGCTGCAACGGATGCAAGACCACTATGGGCTAATCGGAGCCTGCAGGATTCAGATAAATGCCTCCCCCCCTCTTCTCTCTCTCTCTCTCTCTCTCTCTCTCTCTCTCTCTCTCTCTTTCTCTTCTTTCTTGCCTTCATCGTTTCTTTCTACAGTCGTCTATATAGCCCAGGCTTGTCTTAAACTCACTGTCTAGCAGACAATGAGATTCGACTCCTGTTCCTTTTGCCTCCACCTCCCAAGTGCTAAGATTGCAGATGTGTGCTATCACACTAGACTTTCAAGCTATATTCTTTTCTGTCAGTTACCATTCTCCTTTGGATTTATTTTTCTTTTTTGAAAAATCTTAAGGCCTGCTACTAGATTACTGAGACTTACCATGTGACCATAGCCAGCAAGTTACCATATGAGTTGAACACACGAATTGGGGGCTGTCTGATGCAACAACACATAATTAGGAATGCACATCTTGCATGATGAAATTGTGATTTTAGGCTTTATAAACCCCACTCTGCGTCCCCTTGGGTTTGAGAGTTCTTTTGGGTACTAGCCCCCTCTTGACCACTGGCTAATAAAAGACTCCTGTTTTGAAAAAAATCTGTGTGGCATTTTGTTAATCATTGTTCTAAGAAAGAAAGAAAGAGAAAGAAAGAAAGAGAGAGAGAGAAAGAAAGAAAGAAAGAAAGAAAGAAAGAAAGAAGGAAGGAAAGAAAGAAAGAGGGGGGAGGGAGGGAGGGAGGGAGGAAGGAAGGAAGAGAAAGAAAGGGTGGATCAATTACATGGAGAATGATTTGAAGAAAGTTTAAAAGTTACATGATTTGTGTCAAAAGTCCCTCTTAATCATAAATAAATATTTGACTGGAGAGGAACTCCCACCTGCTGAGTCAGGCACTCATGGACCATTGGGATGATGGTAGGGTATGGTTGAGGGCCCTTCTGAGGAGCAGATAGGAAAATGAACAAAGTATATCCTGAATTCTTTATAGTGTTCCAGGCTCCCTTGCAAGAACAAGTTAATATTGTTTACCAAAAAAAAAGACATGAAAAGATTTGAGAGCTAGCTGATTCTCATGTTTTAAATTCTGAGAAGCCTATACAGATATTCCACTGAAATAAAATTGAAGAAGTCCAAACTATAAAGAAATGCTATGGGATGTTTTATTCAAAAATATATTAATGAAAAATATTTTTCTCCTGTGTGTTGAAAATGCGTTCCTGTTACCGATTTGCTGGAATATTCAAGTTTAAGTTTGATATTCAGGATGTTACTCACATTCTTCCCACATTCTTGATTTTCTAGAAATAAGAACAGATAAAAGCTAGGGCCACCTTATGAAAAAGGACAAGAAGAGCAATATTAGTTTGGACATGATAAGAGACTCAGAAGTTTGTAATTCAGAGTTAACTTTACCTGAGTTCACTGTACACCAGGTTTCAAAAGAAGAAAGTCAATCGGTGTTATAGTGAAGGTTTTTGCATTTCAACCTCTGGATTTTTCTGTGAAAACATTCCCTTAATGCCTTCGTCTTTCTCATCACCATCAAGTGTCATATTCACATTTCCAGGCCACTCTTCAAATGAAATGGTTGACAAGTATGAGAGCACGTTTTCTTCCAGAGGCTCCCCAAGAAAAGGCTTTGGAGAATTCTCTGCTTGAGAAGCATCAAAAAACCAGTCTTCAGTTGCTTCTATGCTTCGGCTGCAGCAGGAATTGGAGGGTGAGGTTGAGAAGCTCATTGCCATGCTGCTGCCATTTACTGTTGAGGTTATCACTGATGGATCAGGGCTGACGGGTTTTGTCTCAGGCCACAGTTCATCTTTAGTATGATTGTCAACTTCTGTAAAAAGTTAGCCTGCTAAGACTATTACATATTGATGAGCCAAATCTTAAGATTCTCTTTAAAGCTATCATGGACAGGATGATGCCATAGAAGGGAAAATACCAAGCTGCTATCGTCCATTAATGCTAAATATATAATTGAGAACTAGCAATATTTTTATGATAATCAAGAGTAGAAAAGTTTACACTGAGTAAGATCAGCTGCTTTAGCCAGAAAATATTTTTTTAAGTAGGTTGGAAACATCAGTTCTGGAATGTGCCTTTAAAATTTTTTTCTTGGGGGGCTGGAGAGATGGCTTAGCAATTAAGAACATTGGTTGTCCTTGCAGAAGACCCAGGTTCGAATCCCAGTACCCACATGGCAGCTAACAACTGTCAGTAACACCAGTTCCAGGGGATCCAACAGCCTCTTCTAGCCTCTGCGGGCATTGTAGGACATGGGTGCACTTACCTACATGCAGGCAATACACACATACACATAAAATAAAAATAATAAACAAACAAACAAAAATTCTTGGGACTGGAAAGATGGTCCAGCTGTTACCGCTCTGGCAAAGGACTGGAGTTTGATTCATGTTGGATGACCTGTAATCACAACCACCTGTAATTCTAGTTCTAGGGGATCCAATACCCTCTTCTGGCCTCAGAAGGGTCTGCACTCACGCACAAACCCACATTCTCACACATACTTACATATAATTTAAAGAAATAAATTAGCTGAAAAGCTTTGTTTTTAAAAAATTTCTACTTCCTTGTATTTTATGTGTATGAGTGTTTTGCCTACATGTGTGTAAGTGCACCACGTGTGTGCAATGCCCTTGGAGGGCAGAAAAGGGTGTCAGGTCCCCTAGAATTGGAGCTACAGACAGTTGTTAACCGCCATGTGGGTTCTGGGACCCACCTGGGTCTTCTGCAAGAACAGCAAAAAACTTTCTTAATGATTTATAGCCAAATAATTGCCTTATTTAAGAAAAATCAGTGAGCAGGAAGATTACAAAATAATCTGCAAACCACGTTGTCATGCTTCCATATCTCATGTATCATCTCAACAGTTCTTCAGGGTACCTCTTAATAAAAGCAGAAACTGAGAAACAACCATCACAGATTAGACACAAGAAAGATTTCAACCTAGTCATTAAATCTCATGCTTTCCCCATCATATTATTTAGACTACACTTTATATGTTTAAAAATGGCATTTTAAACTGGGTGTGGTGGTGTGCATCTTTAATCCCAGTGCTCAGGAGGCGGGGCAGGTGGACCACTGCGGATTCCTGGCCAGCCAGGGCTACATAGAGAGACCCTGTCAAAACACAAACGCTGTTTCAAGCCAGATATGCTGGTGCGTGCCTGCAATCCTTGCACTTGGGAGGCTAAGGCAGAACAGTTGAGTTTGAGGCTGTGAGTTCCAGGCCAACCTGGGTTAAGCAGGGAGATGCTGTCTCAAAAAAGGTTAAGTTTTAGACAGTATCACAGAATCTCCTAAAATACATTTTATAATACCTTACATTTTTATTTTTGATATTTCACAAATATGATAGAATGCATGAAATTCAGTTGGAGGGACTATAAGGGGATATGGATGGAGGATGGAATCTAAATATGATTAAGATTTATTGTATGAAATGCACAAAAACTCAATAAAATATACATTTAAATTTATTTTCTATTATGTATTTCTAAAATATCTCTAAAACAACGCTTTGAGATATTAAGATATGACATTAGATATGACATGTAATATTTAAATGGTTGCAAAAAATTCAAATTTGGGGGCTGGAGAGATGACTCGGTAGTTAAGAGCACAGGCTGCTCTTCCAGACGACCCAGGTTCAGTTCCCAGCACCCACGTGGAGGCTAACAACTGACTGTAACTCCAGTTCAGGGGATCCGATGCCCTCTTCTGGTCTCTATTGACACTGCATACATATGGTGCACTTACATACATGCAAGCAAAACATACATACACACAAAATAAAAATAAACATTTAAAAGAAAATGTAAAAATGTCAAGTTTATGTTTTGTCTCCCATTCATTTTAAGTTGCTATGTGATTCCCATCATGATACCTTTGAGTTCAAATAAGAGATAAAAAATTTAATTCCATGTTTTAAGGCATGAAATTGCAATTTTCATTCCCCCCAATGGCTGCCAATTCATATACTAATAAATTAACATTTATCTTGAATTTTCATGGCATTTGAAACAAATTACATGTAGGATAACCAATTGCTATTCACTACGACTCTAGCAAGTCGTCGGAAAAGTACCTTTGGTTTGTGCTGCTTCTTTCCCTCTCCGCTCCACCTACATAAAAATTTGCACTTTAAAAAACGAACCAATTTTATATAGCTTCTATAATATAATTGCTCTAGTGTTTATATGACTTGTATTGTTATCGTTACAAGTTTTTGGTGAAAATATTTTTTCTACAATATGAATGTTTTGGATGAAAAAAGAAAAATTAGTCATTTGAAAAGAATTTGAGGGCTGGAGAAACAGCTCAGTGATTCAGAGTTCACACTGTCTTCCACTGCTGTGTCACCCGCATCTGCTCTGTGAGTCCATATTAACCTATTCTCAAGGATGGGGTTCTCCCCACTAAGCCTTCTTCTTAATGGTTCTGCCACTTCAACCCTATCTACTGCGTCCAATCTTCCAGCCCAGAACCTTTCAGGGACAAGCCACATCCACATATTAGCAGCATGTCAATTGCATATGGCTCTTATATACAAACCAAAAGCATCCTAAAAATAAAACTTTTGAAAAAGAGAACACAAAAGTAGAGCCTCGCCACCCACTGGTAGGCTATGATTTCCTTCTCATCTGTTGGTAGACTATGGATTCTTGAACATTTTACGAAAGTATAATCCAAGAAGGAAAACCAGATACATTAGACTTGGTTAATATTGAAAATGTGAAATTCTGTTAAGAGGATGAAAACAAAAGTCACCAAATGAGATTTAAAAATTGAGCTGGGCATAGTGGTGCATGCCTTTAATCCCAGCACTTGGGAGACAGAGGCAGGCAGATCTCTGGGAGTTCAAGGCCAGACTGGTCTCCATAGTGAATCCAGACCAGCTGTGACTACAGGGAGATACTGTCTCAAAAAGACCAAAAAAAAAAAAAAGACCAAAGACCAAATAAAACAAAAATAAAAAATTGAAAGACACATAACCCACATAGGACCTGTACCCATAAGAACTCTAAATTCAGTGGTAAGAATGTAACCCAATTATAATTGTATAAAAGATTTTAAAAGATGCTTTACTAAGAAGGTATAGATGATAAATAAAATATGAAAAGATATTCAAAATCACTCATTAGGGAAATAAAAATTTAAACTATTACATGCAATATTTTATAATGGATGAAGTTAAAAGTAGTATCAGTGTTTTAAACTGAGGACATGAATCTTGCCTTAGTGTTGATGGCTCCTCACTGACAGATGCTGAAGCTTGGGGTGGCTGTGGAAATTTTCTTTGAACATTTAAAAAATTACATTTATTTGTTTATGTGTGTATGTATGCATTTGCATGCCATGGCATGCATGTGGAGGTCAGAGGACAACTTGCACAGAAGCCTGTTTGCTTCTTCCACCACCTGTACCCTGTGATAGAACTCAGATCATCCGGTCTGGCAGCAAGCACCTTTATCCACTGAGTCATCTCACTGGCCCCAAATTTCTTAAAATAAGATAATAGCTGGGATATAGCTAGTGGTAGAGTGCTTACCTTGCATGCATAAGGCCCTCGTATTACAGCCCCCAGCACCAAAACACATGCACAAATACACACACACAAAACACATGTGCCCATGTATACACATACACACATACATACACACATGCACACATACACTACACACACTTAACACACATACACACATTCATACAAACACATGCACACACAAACACACACATGCATGTACGAACACACATATACAAATGCACACACATGTACACGCACACACAGAAGATACTGAAGTTGGTCACCACGGATTACTCTTCACAAAAATTCCTCTGTAGCACATGATGCTGTTTAATAGCATTTCCTCATAGTAAGACTTCAAAAATATTTTTATTTAATTTATTTAATGGGTGTGTTTGGCCTGCATGTATGTAAAAGCACCACATGCATGCAATGTCCATAGAGACCAGAAGAGGCATCTGATTCCCTGGGATGGAGTTATGGATGGTTGTCAGCCTCAACGTAGGTGCTGGAAACTGAACCCAAGTCTTCTGCAAAAGCAGTCAGTGCTCTTAACTGCTGAGCCATCTTTCCAGCCCCACAGCAGAACATTTTTCAAAACTGGAGTCAATCTCAAACCCTGTGACTCTGCCAGTTAGGTTTATATAATATTCTAAATCCTTCGTTGGTGTAACAGTGTTCACAGCATCTTAATCAGGAGTAAACTCCACCTCAAGAAACCACTTTGGCGCGGCTTCTGGGAGATGGAGGACCAGAAGCCAGCTCCGTGTGATCTGGTGAAGAGTCATGATATGAAAACACAGACTGGTTTTTCAAAGAGAGAAAGAGAGGAGGGACTTCAGAAACCCACGAGAGGAGTGACAGGACAGCTGAAATTTTAAGAAAGTGTTGCTTTCCTGCAGCATGGATTGTGGTGTTGACATCTTACCTTTGTCCTTTAAACTACAAAGTAACTGTGGGTATGTTTTTCAAACTTAAAGACACCAAAATGCCAGTGAGTGGTGTGGAAATCTTTGAGGAGATTGCTGTACATTTCACTCTACCTGTGGCTGGGGTTGGCCAGCATGAAAGTTTTGAGAAATGAAAACGCTCTGAGACTGAGATTTAACCTTCGATTTGGATGATCTTTGCTTCAACTTCTCATCAACTGATTTAACTTTGGAATTTGGGAATATTTCTCTGAAAAGTATACAGAAAATGTTATTAAGCATGAGTCAGATTGTATGCCAGGTAAAATCGTTTCTAATGTTTATACATAAGATTTTAAAAATCAGAATGTGTTACAGTATTTTTAAAAGTAGAAATCAGGCCAGGCATGGTGGTGCAAGCCTTTAATCCCAGCACTTGGGAGGCAGAGGCAGGAGGATAAATCTCTGTGAGTTCAAGGCTAGCCTGTTCTACATAGTGAGTTCCTGGCCAGCTGGGGCTACAGGCTGACCTGATCTCAAAAATACCCCCCCAAAAAAGTAGAAATCAATTTATATACTCCCTTTGTATATGTTAGATTTTATTACATCTATTTTTTCATAAAATATAAATTAAGCTACTTATACAGGGTTAATATTTAAAATTTGAATATTAACCAGAACTGCTCATATACTTCTTTTGGGTCTCGAGAGAATTAATCAACTGCTGTGTGAGTCGTTGTATATATTTGTCTTTAATGAAATAAAATGAAACTCATTGGTCCCTTTTGGTATTTATTAATGTCTCTGCAACAAAGAGGAAGGAAACCAAATCGAAACTAATGACTTATAGTGGAAGAGGACCTGTGATCTCTTATCATCCACGCAATCACAAGCAGTGAGGGAGGGTCAAATATTATTGAGTGCTAAGTTGAACATCAGTTGATCACAGGCAGCATTAAGTATGAAAAGATGAAGTTTCATTATAAAGTTAAATACTCAAAAAACGGTGCCAAACAATGGAACATTATTCACTGCTAAAAAGAAATGACCTATCAAGCCAGGAAAAACATGGAAGAGAGCTGGATGCAATGATTGACACCTGCAATCCGGTGCTTGGGAGGCTGAGGCAGGAGGATTGCCATGAGGTTGAGGTTAGCCAGTGCCACATGGATTTTTAAAGCAGCTAGGCTCAGAATGAGACCCTGTCTCAAAAAAAATTTTAAAATCTACATAGCCTATGATTTCAGCTATAGGCCATTTGATATCTGATCTCAACTCTACGACAGAACCACTAGAAAAGGTAGAACCACTGAGACAGAAGGTTAGGGGGTTGGGGGAGGGAGGGATGAGTGGGGACACACAGAGGACTTTTAGAGCTCTGGTGATACTAAAACTCTATGTACATGTCATACATTTGTGCAAAGCACAGAATGTACACACAGTAGGGTTGAATATGACTGGATGGGAATGACGTATGATGCAAGTTCCTCAGGTGGAACCCTCTCCAAATAATTGCCATTTCTTTCTTCAGAGATACTACAAAATTTCCAAGTCAATTCAAGAAATCGATATATTACTTAATAATGTATTAACAGTTAAGGTCCATGCACTCTGGAAGAAGCCAGAGCAGTCTGCGTCCCTATTCCCTATTGGCAATTTGGGTAAACCCTTCAGAGAATGGCGTGATAAGAATAGGAGGTAGGAATTGGCTAGGTAGTTAGGGTAAAGACCCCAAAGAAATGTAGCCAGTATCTGGGCTAAAAGTCAAAATGTCTTGGGCCTGTTAGCAACACACTCTGTTCCAAATGCCAAAAATGTCAAAAGTATTTGGGAGCGTGTATCTAATCCTTAAAAGATTTTAGGGTTACCTCTTCAGAGGGGGGAATGTTGGAGGGGAGGGAGTGGGCATGGATTTGACCAAAACTCCTTATATGCGTGTATGAAATTCTCAATCAAGTTTTTGTAAAAGTTAAAAAAAAAAATCCATGAATTCACTGAATTCAATTAACTGAGCAAATACTTACTGAGCACCTACACGCCAGACTGCTGGGTCTTGTATATTTAATGGTGTGAGGGGTTATAACTACCCCTTCAGGGGCCTGTCACTGGTCTCACAGAGCTTCTAGCAAAGAAGACAGATGAGAAACTAACACAATAGAAAATGCTGCTGAGGATAATTATCAGGTACTGTGTGAATTTGTAATGAAGGGAATTAACCTGATAGAGGCCAGCGAGGGCTTTCCTGAGGAAGGGGTGATTGAAATGAGCTCTTGAAGAAACAGGAATAGTGATTAGGCAATTGGTAAGTTTGGTGGAAGAGAGGAGATGTGGAAGGTGGAGAGACTAGAAATACAAAGTCCTAAAGGCCAGATTTCCACCATGGAGGACAAACGCAGTAACAAAGCGGGGAGGACGGCATGAGATTGTATGGGCCAATCGTGCAGGACCTTAAAGGCGTGCCATGTTTGGTTTATCCTAAAATCGATGGGAAGTCCTTTCAAATACAGCAGCTGTGGAAGAGAAGGATAGGGCGACTTGATGAAGTTCACATTTGGAAAATGTCTGGCTGAAGTGTAGAGAAGAGATTAAATGAATCCAATAGTAAAGGCAGGGGTGGGCTATGAACCCTAGTGCAGAAGTCTATGTGGGAGACTGAAAACTTGGATGACGTGGCGGCGGTGGATAATGGAATGAAATGATGTACGTGATGTATGAGGTAAAATAAACAAAGCTTAGTGACTTCAAATTTAGTAGAGGTGGGAAAGCGAGAGGAAGTTTTCAAGTATGCCTTCTAGTTTTAGAAGAAGGAAAAAAAATCCGTCCTCTGACTATTATTTTGGTTTGAATCTAAAATATCCCCCACAAGCTCATATTTTGAGCACTTGCTGCTCTGATTGGTGCTGTCTGGGAGGCCGTGGAACCCTTAGGAGGTGGAGCTGGGTGGCTTTTTGCCCACAGTGATGTGAGGCGCCTCTGCGGCCTACTCCTGCTGCCATGAAGGTGCCCTGCCTCCCTCGCTGTGATGGACTGAAATCTCCTGAGCCAAATAATCTTTCCTCCCTTAAGTTGTTTTGTTTTGGTCACAGAGACGAAAAGTGTCTAATAAAATTCTATGTACTCCTCCAACCACTGTCCACTTTATCAGGTCCTACACACACACACACACACACACACACACACACACACACACACTTCTTGAAAGAGACAGCTATACTTTTCTCCATAGTCGCACACCTTTTGTTCTCAAGGATAAGCCTCAAAACCTGTTGTTGCACCAAAATTTCATCAAGGTCACCAATGACCTCCATCTTGTCAAATTAAAGAAAATAATTTCTCAGTCCTCTGTCTTAATTAAGCATCTTCAGTAGAACTGGCTGGCACCTCCTTCTCTAATCCTCTAGACTTTGACTTCTTGGCTCCACACCTTCCTGTGTTTCTTCTCAGATGTTGTTGAGTCTCCCTACTCTACTACTCAGCTTCTAAATGTGGGTAGTGTAGAGGGCACAGCCTAGAACTTTTCAACAAGCACTCCTGACTTGTCTCGTCTAGTTCCATGACTTCAGATAATCTTTGTATATCATCTTCAATTCTGGCTTCTCTCCTGACCTGCATATCGAGCTGTACTATGGATTTCCACTTTGAGGTCTAAACAGCCTTATTGGGGGGGGGTCTTTTTGAGACAGGGTTTCCCTGTAGCCCCAACTGACCTGGAACTCACTATGTAGATCAGGTTGGCCTCAAACTCACAGAGATCCACCTGCCTCTGCCTCCCATAGTGCTGAGATTAAAGGTGTGCACCACCATGCCCGGCATAAATAGCCTTATTTTTTAATTGAATTTTTTGTGTATTTCATACAGAACAGCTTTTTTTGTTTGTTTGTTTTGTTTTGAGACAGGGTCACCCTCTTGCCCCAGCTGGCCTGGAACTCACTATGTAGCTTGCTATGTAGACCAGACTGGCCTCGAACTCAGAGAGATCTGCCTGCCTCTGCTTCCTGAGTGCTGGGACTAAAGGCATGCGCCACCACACCTGGGCTAAAAAGGCTTTTAAACTTAGATGGAAACATAGTTCCTAGTTTATCATCTCTACACCAAATTGATTCCCTTTATGATCATCTTCTCATCCAGAAAATGACACAAGCAATTACTCAGCTACTTATAATAAAACCCTAGTCCTTACTTCACTCTGTCAAGCCTTGCCTCTACCTATAAAGCATATCCAAAGTCCAGTCTCTTCCTTCATCTCATCTGTGGTCATATTAGCTCCAGACATCATCACCTCTCACATGAACTATTAAATAGCCTTCTAGCTCATCTGCTTTCATTGCCAATTCACTAAAACTCGGGCTTCACAGAGAAACATCTTGTGACAATATAAGCCAGACCTATCATATCTTGTTATTAGAAGTGCATTCACTCTTCTGGGTGTGGAGATGGGGGAGGAGTTCTGAATATGATCAAAATACATTGTATGAAATTCTCAAAGAATCAAAAATATTCTTAAAACCTAAACAAAATAAAAGTCTGAATAAGAGAAAAAAACAACAGGGTATAGTGATCAAAATATGAGATTCTCAAAAGAATTAAAAACATTTTTAAAAGCCTAACAAAACAAAACAAAGTCTGAGTAAGAAATAAAGGCAGCTGGATGTGGTGGCGCACAACTTTAATCCCAGCAATTGGGAGTCAGAGGCAGGCAGATCTCTGTGAGATCAAGGCCAGCCTGGTCTACCTAGCAAGTTTCGGGTCAGTTGGGGATACAGGGAAATACTGTCTCAAAATAATAGAAAAAAAAAGAAAAAAAAAAGCAATCGTGATCTAACTATTGAACTCTTAGATAGTTACCTAGGAAAAGAAAATGACAATCATTTTTCTTTTCTTTCTTTTTTACTTTTTTATTTTTTTTTGAGACAAGATCTCATGTAGCCTAGGTTGGCCTCAAAATCACTGTGTAGTTCAGACTGGCCTTAAATTTCTGATCCTCCTGCTTCTACCTCCCAAATGTTAGGAGTACACTACCATACCGGGTTTATTTATTTATTTTATTTGTTTGTTTGTTTGTTTGAGATTGGATCTAGATGTATAGCTCAGTCTGGCCAGGAACTCTCCATCCTCTTGCCTCAACCACCCAAGTGATGAGATTACAGACACATGTTATCACCTCTGAATACAGTCTTTAGATTGAATATAATATTGCTTGCACCGCATTGCTAAGTCTAAATGAGATGTTATATAAAGCACTTACAATAGTGCCTAGGATGTAGTAAGTACTCAATTTAGGTATCAGGATGATCATGCTATTCCCCTTTAAAACCTTCCAGTGACACAGTAATAAAATCAAAACCCTTTAATGTGGTCTATTAATTCCTTTGAGCTCTTCAATTTCCTTCTCACTACAAGTTATTGACACTGATTGTTCTGTCAACTGAATAATGTCATGTTTATTCCCATCTTGGGGTCTTGGTACTTGATACCCTTTCACCTTAGAAAGCTACATTTTTAAAAAGTTTTGTATTACATTTACCTATCTTGTGTGTATGTGTATGTGCACATATGCATGCCACACAGTACATATGTGGGGGTCAGAGAACAACTTGTGGGAGTCAGTTCTCTCCTTCCACTATGTGGGTCCCTCAAGCAACCACCTTTAATGCACTGGGCCATCTTGCTCGTCCTTAGAAAGCTTTTGCACAAGGTAATTTTTGTTTTTGTTTGTTTGTTTTTGTCTTTTTTGACACAGTCTCCCAGTAGCCCCTGGAACTCAATATGTAGATCAGGCTGGCCTCGAACTCACAGAGATCTGCCTGCCTCCCGAGTGCTGGGACTAAAGGCGTGTGCCATCACCCCTGTTTTACGCAAGGTGTTTAATCTGGCTTCTTTATCTCAGATTTCAGATTAAATGCAAACTGCTTGCACCGGCATTCCTTGCGCACGTTTTATTTGCTCATTATCTGTCTCCTGGTACTGCAAGTCTATGAAACAAGGACCTTTCTGGCCTATTTGTAGTAGTTGTAGCATCAATTCCAGTAACGATGGAAGATAACAAATATTTTTCTTTGATTTATTTTTTATTGTATATTCATTAAATGTTTGTTGAAAGAATGAGTGAGTACCATCTGACTTCACATGTGGACAGACAGCATGTGTTCCTTGCTGCTGAGATAAGGAACATGGGGAGAATGTATAAGAAGGTCATTTTACAATCCATGTTTTTAAAATAGCAAATGCAAATTCTGAATCGATTAAATAAGTAGAAACACAAAATTTTAGAGTTGAAAAGAACTAAGGTGTCAGCTAATCTTTTAGTGTGTTTCTGGCAGAAGACTGTTTTCAGACAACAGGGCATTCTGTCAGTTCTCTTAAATATCTCCTTAAAAAGGGTATCCTGGGCTGGAGAGATGGCCCAGCCGTTAAGAGCATTGGCTGCTCTTGCAGAGGACCCAGTTCAGTTCCCAGCACACACGTAGCAGGTAACAGCCATCCAGTTCCAAGGAATCGGATGCCTCTTCTGGCCTCCATGAGCATTGAACAACATGTGTGTATTTACATACATGCAGGCACAACATTCATACTCATTAAATGAAAATAAATTTTTTAAAAGGGTCCCTTTCTCTCTCAGTAATGATTTTAACCTCAGTAATTTTTTTATCATTTTTGGGGGGAGTGGTCTTTTTGAGACAGGGTCTCCCTGTAGCCCCAGTTGTCCTGGAACTCACTATGTAGACCAGGCTGGCCTTGAACTCACAGAGATCTGCCTGCTTCTGCCTCCTGAGTGCTGGGTTTAAAGGAGTGCGCAACCATGCCCGGCTATTATTATTTTTATTTTATGTGTATGAGTGTATTGCCTGCATGTATGTGAGTGCACCTGTGTCATGCAATGCTGCCGAGGTCAGAAGAGGCCTTCAGATTCCACTGGAACTGGAGTTAAGGACGATTTGTAGCTGCCATGTGGGTGCTGGGAATTGAACCCAGGTCCTCTGTAAGAGCAGTCAGTGCTCTTAACTGCTGAGTCATCTCTCCAGCCCACCTCAGTAATGTTTTAATTGGAAGGTTTTCCCCCTAATTCCTAGCTTTATATTACAATCAGACCCATTTTCCTAGTAAATAAAATAAGATATGTTATTCCTTAAAATACAATGCATGAAGACTGCTGTTAGATTATTCTAGGTGTTCTTGCAGGCTGTTTAATACACATAAATCCTTCCTTTTCCAACCACAGGATCTATAACAAAAACCGAGATTATAGAATCAATACTGTTATAGCTATTTAACAGCAGCTGAAAAAGCCCTTCATTGAATTTTTAACAAAAAAGAATTTTAAAAACTTTCTAATAAACCTTACCTCCGTTTGAAGATCAGGAACCACAAAGCAGATGCTAAAGCAAAGAAACCAATCCCCAAACTAACAGCACCAGCAGCCAGAAAATAGGTTAAGTGGTTGTAAAAACCTACACAAATAAATGATAAAAGATCGTTTACGGCATGTATCTTCATTCTCTGGGTAAATTAAATGATATCTAAAATAGTACAACATAGTATGATACTAATACTGAACAAGAAATCGGGAAGTCTCAATTCTAGTCCTATATGTTTCTAATAAGTTGGAAGTCCTGGAGACAGGGAATGGCACAGGGCACAATATAAATATAACCGGGAAAGCCTGCAGGAATTATATGGTACTAACCCTTCACTTTAGAGATAGCAAAACTGAGACCCATGTAAAAGAAGTAATTGAACTAAAGTTGCACAGCCATGTAATGCCAGTATTCTGTTTCTCTCTATTATCTCTGCCAACAAATATCTCGGTGCTAGTACGTCATGGAAAATAATTAGGAATAAAGTAAACAAGATGTAATTATGGTCACATTGGTCAGGTCTTCATTAAACTCTAGAAACCTAATGCCTAAGCATAAGATAAACTCCAGAAAGCTCTCACAGGTTTAGAAGACGTGAAGGACCCAGGCATAGTGGCGCATGACTTTAATCCCAGCACTGGAGAGGCAGAGGGAGGTGGATCTCTGTGAGATCCAGGCCAGCCTGGTCTACATAGGGATTTCCAGGTCAGCTGAGATTACAGGGAGACGCTGTTTCAAAAAGACCAAAAAATAAACAAAGAAAGAAAGAAAAAGAAAAAAAAAAAAGGAAGCCATAAAGGTTTTTAAGCAAGGAGTAGGGGCTGGAGAGATGGCTCAGTGGTTAAGACACCAGCTGCTCTTGGAGAGGACTGTGGTCTGGTTTCCAGCACCTACATGGCAGCTAATAATCATCCATAGCTCCAGTTTCAGGGTCTCTGATGACCTTTTCTGGCCTCTGTGGGCGTTACATGCACAGGTGTACTTATATAAAGGCAAAACACTCATAAACATAAAATAAAAATAAACACACACATTGGAATGTTTTTCAGCCATTAAAAAGCAAAGTTATGCCATTCACAGGAAAATGGCTGCAACTGGAGAGAAACGCACTGAGCAAATTAAGCCGGTCTCAGAAAGACAAACATCAGGTTTTCTCTCGTTTGTGGTTCCTACATTTTTACAGATACACAAAATCATATATGTAAATATGACAAAGTATAAACGAAACTGTCTAGGGGAGCAAAAGGGACTGATGGGAGGGTGAGAGGCGGGGAAGGCAGGGGGTGGGGTGAGAGGGGAGGG